CTACTTCTGGTCTTCCTGAAGCCCTCACTGACATCAGCGCATGCAAACTGACGCCTTTGTGGCCCTTTACAATTCTAAATATGCTATATTTATATCCTGTTCTTTCTATTAACTCCTCCTTTCCTACATCTGTGCTTTGCATGCCCTAGTGAACTGAGCTTGGGTGTGTCAAAGGGTGAGGACAAGAGGGGAATATAAAAATGGTGTAGTGGTGTTTTATTTTGGCTTTATGAATATTTTTCAAGTATGCTGAAATTATGTGAAGCTAATAATCATGCCTAGATACTATAGAAAGTATGTATTGATGTATTGTGGACAAATTATTTATACTCTTATAAAAATTAATATAATTAATAGCCAGATGATTGCTCCAGACTCACTCCACTCATGAAAGCAGGGAGCTGTGGTGTATGGCTTTGCTTTCGTTTTTAAAGAGATGCTGTTGAAATTGTGTGCTGTCACATACAACCTGCCGGTTCACTCCAGGTGTGCCGTCACCTGCAAGTACACTTGGGGCCTCTTTGAGCCATAGCTCTCATGTGGAAGGGGCAGTACTCAGTCCTGAAGTGTACCTTGAGTCATTCCCTGTAAAGCCTCATTTGGGACCAAAGCTATCAAGTCCACAGGCAGGGAAGAGGTCCTCTGAACATTTTTGTCATGCCAGCAAGTCTGGATTTTTGTAGACGTGGGATGTGCGTATACACACACCCCCCTACCTTTGTGCCGCCAGCTAGGAGGGAAGGCAAAATTGATGCCAAACATCTGTCTGTACTCTAGAAGGTATTAGTGCAGGACCTGGCAGCTGGAGTATTCTCAGCTATAATTCAACCCTCCTTTTTCATCCAAAGCAGGACAACATGTAGGAGAAAATTCTTAGTCTTTGCGGCTAAAGCTTCTAGCTCTCTAAGTCGCATATCAAAATCTTAATGTGTCCGAGACCTGTGCCCCTTTTTAGCATGATTCTCCCCTCTCCCTGTGCCTGATTTTTATTCACTGTATTGCTCTTTACTCCTGATTCTGTCAGCTTGGCCGAAGGCACGGGTTATGGCACTGACTGATGTGATGCAGCAGACCAGACAAGTGACTGCATGTCAGCTCGCAGAAACTCGCTTATCTCACAGCCAGCAGTAAGACAATAGTGAGCTACTTCTGCAGTCGGGGCAGCAGCACCCATGCTGCCTGGAGAAAATGGTGCAGTTATACATGGATAACTCATAGCTAAATTATGATGGGACCTTAAGTCCGGAGGAAACATTTTACCCCATGACTGACACATGGTTCCCTGGCTGCCTGCGGGCAGATGAAGCTGGGCCCATAGAGCAAGCTGCCTGACTGTGACTGCATGTTACCTTCTTACTTCATGTACTGAATTATCTGATAGTAGGAGTGGGTCCATCTACAGCCCTGTAGTCTGACCTGACCCATGCTCTCCCATGTCTCTCTCTGACCCAGGGGTGATGCAGCATCTCTGTGTAAAATGGGAATTAAAAAGGCGCACACGTACGGTGGTGTCTTTGGATAAGAGGGAGGTATTGGGACAGAGGAGGGGAGGCTCTGCTGGCAGGAGGTGTTTCTTCAGGACAGTGTACGGTCCCACACCATGTAATACTCTTCTCTAACCTATTTATTTATTTTTAAAGTATCTGTGTAGCAGAGTTGTGCCCAACTGTCTAGTAACGCTGTGATCATTGTAAACACTAATTAAGATACCCAATTTTTGATGTTCACGATACCAAGTTCTGAAATAAACGGCTTCCGGGCCCTGACTATTTCCACAAACTGTTTGACTCCAGAGCCTTTTTTTTTTTTTTTTTCTTTTTCCCCTTCTTCCTTTTTTGGTTACTTTTTCAGTGTTACCAGACCCACTGTTATCACAAATGGCTTGGAGCAACGCAGTAGTCTGAGAGCAAAGATAGCTGCACTGCTCCATTCCAGGGCTGTGATGTGGCTGCTTCCTGCCTTACGATACTCTTGATCTCCTCACCTTTTTTTCATCTGCTTCTGAAAGAACTTTTAGTTCAGCTGACGATTCCCATGACAGCACCCCTGCTTTTTAGCAGCATCTAGCCCTCTTGACATGACAGTGGCAAACACTAAAGCGAAAAGCACATAGAAAAGGAACAGGATTTTGCACGTGTTGCAGGAATTTACTTTGTTCAGAGCGTATCAATATTTAAGCCGTTCTTTGGTCAGCATTCAATCCTAAGGCATTAATATGCTATGCTTAAAATTCTTCAGCTCTTCTTTGCTAACCAGAAAAATTCCTTTTCTGGATGGTGCAAGACAAATGATTCATCAGCTGCCCAGAGGATCTGACTGCACTAACTTGGTGAGGTTGAGAAGAAGTGGGGCTGTTGAGCAGCAGAGCCCATGCAAGTCCGATCCAAAAAAGTTACAATCCCAGGAAAGAGATTGCGGTTATGAGTGATAAATGATTGTAATATCTTCCAGCCCATTAAGTGAAAAACTGCCAAAAACCAATAAGCCAGATAAGCTGTTTTCCAGCACAGCAAGGAGCTGTGTAAAGTTGGATCCTTTAGCCCAAAGGTACAAAAGGTGCAAAGTTAGGAAAAAAGAGCTATGTCGTTCACAGGCGATGCTCTGATTTGGCCTTTCACAGACATGGCACAGTGAGTGGTAGGTATCGCTCTTTCTGATATGATTCATATCATAGTCCTGAGCTGCACTTTTAATTTCCTTTCCCATTCATTTTCTCTTGCAAAGCTGAGATGGACATGTGCATCTGCTATTTACATCTGTATGTGTGGTGGGGCAAATGTGTATATGTATGTGCACTAAAGGACTCTGCACGTTTGCGAAGCGTGACACCCTTCCCAGGTCCTCTGGAACCTGAAGAGGTTGGGCAGTTTCTGCTGCAAGACTGACGAGTTCCTTGCCGCTGTTAAAGGCATGTCCTGCTTGCAAGCACCAGGAAGCTGGTTGGCTCAGATGTTGTTCAGCCTGATTAAGCTGGTCGGGATTGTTGATGTCTGCCTCGTACTAGCAGATAAGTAGTTTTATAAGATATTTTAAATTGTAATCTTAACTCTAGACTGCTTCTTCTGGACATGCTAGCACTGCATAATATTGCTGCATCACCTCTTTAATCTCCAAGAGAGAATGGCACATGCATAAATCACCTCACAGCGCAAGATTGAGATATGTATATTCCTTCACGCTCTGATTTACTACTGGCTTTCCTCTGACAGAAGAAAAGCCGTGTTGCTGCTCTCATCTGCCTCAGTGTTTTCATCAGAAGTGAGATTAAACCTCCAAAGGTTGCAGCTTGATTATATGCTGCAAAGTCTGATATCTCCATTTTAAAATACCTATACTTCATACTTCGTTGGTACGTCATCATGACTTATTTGACAAGACTATTACCTGTTTCTAACTAAACAAAAATCTTACAGGAGATCCTTGAGAGATCTTGTTCACATTCTAGACTTTCTTTCATGTATTTTATTCAATTGTTAAAAATAATACAAAATTACTATACTTTCAATTGCAACATTCTTCAAATGCTCATTTTCATGGTATGAGGACACAAGTGAGACTCCAAAGCTGACTCCTCATTTCTGATGCAATGTAGTCAATTAAACTGTACACATAGAGTAAGATCAGTATGTGATTGCAAGGAGGAATGAAAGAAGGTAAAAATAGGAGTAAATTTTTGACAGACTGTTCAGCTTAGGTTGATTTTTAAATTTTAAACCACCACAAAGGTAGGTGATGAAATGGGGGTATCAGAAATTAATTGCATAGTTTATTTGCATACAGTAATTGAGTGTGAAATACTGTGGCAGTGCTAGCTGCAAAAACTGTTTAAAATACAAAGTCCTCTCATACAGTTATTTTACCAGTAGAATAGAAGTCATTTTATGTCTGTAGTACTTAAAAATCAAGCTAACTGGTACAGGTACCCTTAGCGTGTTTTGTCTGTTATCTCTCGTCTTGTGTTCTCAAGTTGGACACGCTGTTCTACAGCTCCCCTCTTTCACTTGGAAAGAACCCACTGAAAACAACTCACAGACCCAGAAATACAATTGCCATTATTATTGCCAATTTAAATTTTTTCCAGGCACTATAAAAGAGATTGTTTTTTATGTGCTAGAAGTAAGACACTTCTTGCAGTGTATGCTACAGGAGCACAGTTCCCTCTGAGTGGCTATGCTAGTACATATTTGTGGCTAATTATGATATGCAGAGAAAGGAAAATGTAACAGTTTAGGGCTCAATTTAGGATTGGAAAAGCCAGGTTTGTGTGTCTGTTCTATCATAGGATTTTTACATGACCCTCAACAAGTCACTTAGCTTCTTTTTGCTTCTCTTTCCCACCTGTAAAGTGAGGGTAGTGAGTCTTCCTTACCTCGCAGAAGTATAATAAAGGCAAATGTATTAAAGAGGTTTGAATGTTAGTTTTAAAACAGAGCTCTTGTGCCTAAACCTTTATCTAGGTACCCATAAAAATACTTTTCTCTATACTGGCATCAGAGGTAAGGTGTTGATTCTGGTTTCTAAAGACAAAAAGACTCATAGATAACTACTTGCTTCCCACAGTCATGACATTTCTAAGCATGTTGTTTGCATGTGCACATAACAAACATAAGATGTACTCTATTGTTGGTCCTATGCGTATCTGGACTTTGTAAAGCATTCTGGTGGTCTCTAGGTAATTTTCTCGTCCAGGGAGAGAACCAAGGTACTATGCCTATTTGCACCTGAGTTCCTAAGCTGTTCCACCATCTTTTCCACCCTGTATTGTGGGACAGGTTGGTGCACAATAATTTAAGTAAGGTTGAGCAGTTCTTCCTTCCCCACTTTCAAAGGTGTAGGAACATTCCTGTAAACTCTTAAGGATTCTGCATCTTGCACTCCTGCACTGAAAAATTAGTACAAACCTGATAACAAAGCAAGTGTTCATGCAAGTAGTACAACTGAGAGAGTGAGTTCCTTGAATGTACTCATTGCTAAATGTCTGTCATGCATGTCATTTGCAGGTACCTTTCTGGGGATTCGATTACTCTCTTTCCCAGCGGCACTGGGACTGGTTTCCCTTCCTCTGCTACGTCTCTCTTTGTCCCAACACCACCCAGTATTCTCCAGCTGACAAACCAACAGCTCTTCAGATCCCCACGCAGAACTTCTTCTTCCTCTCTTCCTGGTCGTCTCAACAGGGCACTCTCGCTGGGTACCATCCCCTCCTTGGCCAGAGCAGGTAAGTGTGCATGAAACTTTCTGGCCCAATGGAAATGACGATGGAGTGGTGCAATGCTTCAGAAGGAAATGGGCTGTTGAGGTATCCACGTTATGCTCCTGTTCAGGGATTGCTGCTCCTGTGGCACAGAAGAGTATCTAGCACTGGTAATTTGGTTTTTGGCATTAAGAAATTATGCAGCATACCATTGTCATCTTAGTGAGACTTTTTGTTTCACCGAGTGCTTGCCTGCTGTGGGTTTACTGAAATCCAGAGGCTTCTCCAGGCATTCGTGGCAGTATGGCATAAGCTACAAGGCTATGTGTGGGAGAGAGACAGAAGGAGCAGTTAGACATGGGAATGGAGAAGAGCAGCTTCTGGAAGTGATTGGGAGCATCAGGATAACTGACCTGGCAAGAGCAATCGCTCCCTTCCTTCTAGCTGCTTTGTGTAGTTTGCTTTTCTTGCTACAGCTGAAGGGAGCAGAGCTGAAGGCGGGCTCTTCCCTAAGTCTGGATTTGATATGCATTATCACAGCTATTGAAGCTGCTTTAGAGACGGCATTTCCTCTTGTTTTTAAGGGCTCTGTACAGTCTAGGGAAGGTCTATAGGCTTAAGGAAAGACTCTCTCCCAGTAACTCAATAAGCCCTCAGTTTTGCTGTGCTTGAAACTAACGGATGGGAGATAGCGTTCCAATGCTATTCTCCATCCAGGGAAAGGTAAGCTTTCTTGTGTCACTAACTGATTACCAGAAGGTCAGGGGCCAAAATGTGGCAGTTTCTAGGATAACACTGCAGCAGAGAGAGTAGTCTTGCAGGGGTTTCTTTAGTTTATTTGACATTTCTTTAGCTCATGTTGCCAGCAGTTTTGCCAGATCCACTAAGAGCAAGAGAAAGACCAGCCATGCAAACCTTTCAGCAGCATGGCAGCTTTTGGCACAGCCTTCACCTTTCTAGTGAGCTAACTGCCACTGGAAGGGCAAGTGCAAATGCACCAGGCGGCTGGGATTCCCCCTGCATGCTAAACCACCCTTGTGGGGTCTGCGCTTTCTTTTGCTAAGGTGCAAAGCCAGACAGACTGGAGAGAGATTGCTGTCAGGGCTGAATATTTTTCGCAAACAGCAAGGTTTTCAACCTCCAAAGCTGTTTGCCTAGAATTATGTAAATCAAATGCCTAAGAAAAATAATTGATTTAAGCTCTGAGGTTTCATTTGTAGCACTTCTTTTTCCTGACTTCATTACTTTTCATTGATTTTTTTTTTTTTCTTTTTTTTTTTCCCCCTGCCTCATTATTATGGCTACTGTGCCTGACAGCTAGATGGGAATTCGTCTCACCCTATGATGTGCCCTTAAGGCACTTTTCATGAGAAAAGGATACAACCATATCTTCACCTTCTTCCTTTTAAAGTAAAGGCAAGCCAGGCTGTGATACAGTCAGAGGGTTGTTTTTGGAGCCTGCTGGACAGATCTCTTCTGCTGCAGCTGGGAAAAGTGGATTATTCTGACGCTGGCATATAGCCTACCCAGGAAAACAGGGACATTTTTCCCGCCTACATTTACCACCCATCCCCTTCTGAGATTGATGACAAGATGATGAAGTTACATTTCTGAAGGATAGACCTCCAGTAGCTGAGCCAGCTGGGTTCAAACTGTTTCATTTTTGCTTTTTAGATTCTGGCTACTTGTTCAGCGGAAGTCGACCAGCCTCACAGTCATCTCAGTCCAAGGAATCTCCTACGTCAGGTAATGCACTAGGCCTTCCAGAGCAACTGTCTTTGCAGGATTTGCAGTGAGTGGGTTGAAACACATGATCCAAGTTTTAATTCTTTCCTCCCTCCTCACATCCCGGTGAAAATGTCAGTTTTGCTGTTAGAAATGCTGCAGAGAGCGTTCCAACTAAAAGTGGGATTGCATTAAAATAAGGCGCTATATGTGTTGGATGTCCTTCTCCCTGGGAGAGCTCACAGTGAAATCAGTGAGACAAAGCAAGGATCCCTTCCCTGCTCTACAGCTGAGTTGAGATTGCTTTGATAGGAGACTTTAAACTGTTCCTAGGGCAGCTCTTTTGTTTCACTTTCCTTCCCCAGCCCAAGGAACTGCTAATTTGGCTACCCTGTCTGCTCTGCCCTTTTGCTCCCGTGTCCTCCAGTGACCTGTCTGTTGCCCTCCTGACCCCAAATGGATTCTTTGGCTGTGCTGCTTAAGTGTTTGCTGCTGGAAATGCGGTCACAGCCTGGGCTAATGCCATTGTGCAAACCTCCTTGCATCCTGATACACTTTCCCAGCAGCCTTTAAAGGACATGCCACATGTAATGAATGCCACATAACATGGCTTTATGGCTTTACAATGCCACACAACACGTAACATGAATGCCACATGCCACATAACAACAGTTAATTGTCCTGCAAAACAGCATGTGTAATGCAGGCTCTCCTGAATGGGCACAACTGAGCAGAGAGAAAGCTCACCCGGCTCCTGATAAACCTATCTCTAGTCTAAGTCATTCCTGAGTGTACCAAAGCGCATGTGGAATTTCTCCATGTTTTGCAGTGTGGGAACTGGAATGAATAAAGAATTATAGTACAAGATGTGTTGGACATTTGCAACTCCCATTCCCTTTTCTTGTAGAATTGTCAAAGAAAACTGTGCCTATTGTATTGAGATTATAATCTCATTATTTTCTCTTTGGGGATGTTTCCATTTCAGAGCACTTCTCCCTGCTGTCCGGCAGCTGTGCTCCCTCCCGCATCCCCTCTCCAGCACCGTCGGTGGCTGGCTCTGTGACTTCCAGCTCAGGTTCCTTGCGGTACCGCCGGCCACTCATCAGCCCTGCCCGCCTGAACCTGAAAGGACAGAAGCTGCTGCTTTTCCCATCTCAGAATGAGGCTCTGCTCACCCCAACTAGCTCAGAGGAGCACACCCACTCAGACAGCAACATCTTTGCCACCGAGTTGTCCTCCTTTCCAAAGAAGAACCTCAGCGAGCGGGGAATGCATGGTATGCTGGCAGCCTGCTGCACTCCTGGAAATGCATTTGTAGGAAGGAGTTGGCTTGCAAGCAAAGCTTGTGCATCATCTAGGCCACACAATAGATGGGAAACCTTCAGGAAAAGCCCACGTGGTGATGACTGGTAGGCTACCAAAGCTGCCTTAAGAGTCTGCTGGCCTGGAGAGCCTCTTGTCTGCCAAAACAGAGGTCCTTTTCTCACTTAGTGGTGCCCCAGGGATACTACTGCCACTGCCTTCACCCTTGTTTGGGTAACTCCTTTAACCAGGGGTGTGGTGATGCTGATAGGGACAGTGTATGAGACAAACACGCAGGCAACTTCTGCTGCACAGCAGTGAAATTTGCCTTTTGTTTCTAGCTCCTGTCCTCGATCCTTTCATGATTTTACCAGCCAACCATTCATTACTCATGTCTAGCTTTAGTCTGGTAATTTCTGTTACTTTTGGCTTCCACTGGTGCCTTCTGAATTTTCGTATCTTTTTCTCCTTGCAGATATGAGATCTGCTATGGAAGGCGGGAGTATTTGCAGTGATAATTCCATCAAAAAGGAGGATCGCTCCTCACACTCATCTACCTGTGTGGTAGACACAACTACCAAAGGGGAAGATTTGGCAGGCTGGAGAGGTAGGTGCAAGTCATGTGAGTGCTTCATGTATGTGTGAGCGTTTCTACGAGGGTAACTGAGATCTTTTCTGTGCTGTAGTAGTGATCTGATCTTGAGATCAAATAAATAAGTAGTAGCAAAATGGATCTTCTGACTGCTATTCTAAGACCTTAATAAGGCTATTCCTGTTCTTTGGGCTGTCTGAAGAACACTGACAGAGTGCTAAACTGAGACAGAAGGAAAGGGGTGGGGATGCGGGTGTTGAGAAGAGCGATGAGATGAAAATAGAACCAAAGAAGGCAGTGGAATCTTTCCTGACAGGCAAAGTGCTTCAGCAATTTCTGCTTATGGTGAAAACACTGGGCAAAGAGAGAGAAAGAGCACAACATATGTTCACTGTTATTTATCTCAGCAATTCTTTAATATCTCTTTCTACTATTCCTTTTTTCCTTTGTGTTGTCCTCTTCCACTAAGGTCATTTTGGTAACTCCGCTCTCCGAGGTCTGCTAGCCGTGAGTCTGACTCTCAATGCAATCTTCACGTCAGCCTATGTCTACCGGAGCCTGCGTTGATTTGTGCCAACACTCCCTTTCTTTCTGGTTCCACCTGCTTCTGAGGAGACAAGAAGAATTCAACCACGGCTTCATGTCTAGTGGCCGTGCCACTGGTGCATGCTGTTTTTTAAAAAAACTACTGTATGCTCAGCTGTCATGACAAGGAACCCGGGTAGCTGCTGCCATCACTTCCAGGTAGAACATATCACAGGATTGTCCCTGGAGGTGGCAGGCGGAATTCCCAGAAAGCTCCAGTTCGAAGCAGGAGGCCAGTCAAATGGCCCACGCGCTTTCTTTCAAAGGAACTGACCTGAGACACAAGCCTGAAAATGTGTAAGCTACGTTTTTAGGAACCTATCCCCAGCTCTTCTTCCTGACATATCAACCTCATGCTGATGGTGCTGGTAAAATGAGAATTAGAACAAATGAGCTGGAGAAGAGGGATGGCTTTGTAGCTGGTGCTGGGCTTTGGCTACTGTAACGGCATTCCCAGCCTCTTTGCCCAGTGGTTCCTCTTCTCTCTTCCCTTTGGCACTCTCCTCTAAATTATCAGTGAATTTTCTTTAATTGCCTTAAGCTTGCCTAAGCACCCGGGTGACTTTGGCTGCTCTGTCATATTCTTGCATCTTACATGTCCCTGTGCTTCCACCTGGGCTGTGCCCTGAGGCCCCTTTCACCAGTTGCCATTCTGGTCATGCTGGTTCTCGGAAACTGCTGTCTGTACGTACCTCCAACCAGCACTGTTGCTGTAGGTATGCACAAACCCCAGAGAGACATGCTTTGTGATTTGCATTAGAAAGAGGAAGCCTGCGCTTTGCTTTATCCAGGGGGCACTGATTCTGTTACAATTAACTCTGTAGTAAGAAAGGATCCCTATGTGATGTGCACCATAGTCAAAGGGCTTCAGCTCACAACTCTGACTGCTGGTGTTTTCACTGAAGCAGCGAGTGGCATAGCTTGTTCTTGCTGTAAATCGCACAAATCTATTCTATTAGAAGATACATGAGGAGCTGTCTGTATGCATTTATCCAGAAACCAGATGCCTCAATCTGATACTGGGATTTGCTAAGTAACCATTTAAGATACTTCTTACTTAGTTAAATGCCAAGGTGCTCTCAGTGAGAAATGCCAAACCTGCTTCTGGACAACTCAGCCTTCTGGATAGATTCTTCTTTTCTAACCCAAAGGAAGTAGCCCTAGATTTTCAAAAGCAGTTTACAATTTGGGCACTTCTGCTTTTGGGTGAGTCTTCAGCATTGCTTAGAATTCAGGGGCCATTTAAGAGTATCGTGCTGAATACTCCAAATCATTTAGTACACCTTAGGGGAAAAAAAAAAAATCTTGATCTTTGTTTTGGTTCTTAAATCCCAAGTGCAGAGAGAAGATTTACCAATGTGTCAAGGATACCTGGTGAAAAGAGAGCCAACTGGCATTAGCTATGTATTTCCTGAAGCAGGACTGACTCTATTGAGAGTTTTTCTATTGTCTCTTCCTTTGGGCTCCTTTACCTCAAACTTATTTTCTCTTTCCCTCACCCCATTGTCCTGTGTTTACATCTTGAATGACAGTGTTAGCTTACTGTGTCTTTTCCTCCCTTTCAGTTCTGCTGCTCTTCCCTCTATTGTACTCTTGCATGTGCACAGAAACAAAGTGTGTATCTGATAATTCTCTGCTCTGAACCTGAAATTCACACCTCGGAGTGATGATCCCCTTCCTTTGAAACGTGCCTAGAAGACTGCAAATGTTTGTGCCAGATCATCCCATTTTGTAGATCCTAAATACTGGCATGCCCCAAGCACTCTTCTGTTACTAGGGACATTACTTCCAATGGTCCTATTGATCAGAATATAATGATCACCCTTCCTTTCACTTTTTTTTTTTTTCCCCCCCCTTGCATGTTTTGAGTTCCTACCACAGCCTCACTTAGTACATGATGTGAGTGATAGCCAGATTCTAATCAGCATGCTATATGACAGATTAAATGGGGCTTTACTGCTGGGGATTCAAGCACTGAAAAATTAAGTCTCTCTTTGTCTCTTCCATTTCTTCCTGCATTGTTTTAGCAGCCTGCTTCCAGCCGCTCCTCCCCATCCTCCCTTGTTAGTGAGGCCTGCTCATTGCCTGCTCCGCATCTGACAGGCAGAGGACAGACCTCTGCCCACACGTGCTAATCTGAGAGGCCGTGGAGGTGTCATTCCTGACTCTGCATCTTTCTCTCAGCCTCTTTAGCGTGTCGGTCAAGGGCCGCACAGCCAGCACCTCCTACACAAAGGCCTAGATCCAGGATAGAGACCCGCAGCAGAAAGATGTGCTGCAGGTTGGTGATTAATTCTTTTGCAACTTGCATGAATTGTTACTTGTAGCCAAACCGGACCCATAACCTTCCTGTTAAGAGATTTTTGTCCCTTTCATAGACTTCTGCAGGCTCACTTAAGCATATGTATAGGCAAGATGCTAGCAGACCAACTTACAAGCTTCTATTTAGACCTCTGCTGTTTGAGTTTGATGATGTCCTGGTGCAGTGTGTGACATCCCATTCATGGATCCTTGTCCTGACTTCCAGCATACCCAGGGGCCTCCTATGCAGAGACAAGCCTGCCAGAGAATACTGTGGGTTTCTTTGTCTTTATTACGCCAACAGATGTGCACTGTGACTTCATGTATGCAAACTTTCCACTTTCACCTCCCAGTCTGCGCTGAGTTCTACCATCGCGCTCACCTGGAGTCCAAGTTGGTCTCTGTCTCTACCAGATTGCAATACAAATTTTCTCCTCCTTTCCAGCAACCAAGGAGCTGCAGCCTCTCAACACACCTCTTCTTGCCCGTATTCCAGAACAGGAACACTTTAACCTGTCACTGCACTTCTGAATCTGCTCACTGAAACTGTTCTTGGAAGAGTATTTGGTGACCTTGTCCAAAGCAATATAAAGACTTTGGATTTTATTGCTGAAGAGGGAAGACAACCAATTTTTTCATTCTGGTGCTAGAACACTCTCCAGTGGTGCTTTCACAGTTGTGAAGCCTTCGCTTGAATAGTACACACAAGTATACGTGTGTATGTGTGTGTGTGCGCGTGTGCATGCATGTGTACTGTGTGTGTGTGTGTGTGCGTGTGCATGCATGTGTATAAAAACATTTGGAGGGTTTCTTCATTTTAAAAGATCTGAGCCCATGTTTGTCTTTGTATTGTTGGCCTTAATCTAGCTCTTCGATACTGTGTCTATCTTGCTGCTGTTTTCTGTATGAAGCTGGTTTGGAGGAAACAAGATTATCTGGTCCCCCTGTAAAAATTGTTGTGACTAATGATGTTGATCTTCATACAGTGTTGTTCAGGGGTGAGATTTTATTTTTCTAATATTTTTCCTACTGTAAAAACTGTTGGAGCGTATGGAATGGAAAAGATCTTTACAAAATGGTCTGATAAAGATTTGAGCATCACTTCATAATACCAACAATTAATGATCAGGAGGGATATAAATGAGCTCCGTTTCCAGACCTTTTCCATTACCTGCCTTCCCTTGAAAACGCCCAGGTACTTTTTCTTTGGATATGGGCTTGTTAGGCATGTTCTGAGACCTTGCAGATACTTTGAATGATTTTGCTGTTCTGAATTAGGAAGAATTTGGATTCTAGAGTCTGGTTCCAGTTCCGCAGTCTGGGTAGTTTGGCAGATGTGACAAATATTATGCACACATCCATTTGATGGGATAGAGAGAATTGGTAGAATGAGTTGCTGATTTCTGAAGGACATCATATCTTTTTATGTAAAACCTTAGACATGAAATTGGTCACTGTGGCAATGTGGGGAAAAAAACTCATTGCTGGCATATGTAGGCCAGATTCGCTGAATTTTAGGCTGTCTGCTCAAGCAACAAATTTGGCCTGTGAATGTTTTATTCCCACTCCTCCTTCTTGGGTGATGGGAACATCTGTAAAACACTGCTGAACTGACTGGGTTCCTTAAAACAGGGCAGCTGGAATCAAGGGCTTGTGTTGCCTGTGGATGCTGCTATATTTTTTTCTTCCAAGCACCATTCCTGGAAATAACTATGGTCTTAACCTCTCTCACAGACATTTGTTAGAAGGCTAGAAAGGGCCAATTTGGCCAATACTTTCTTTCTTTTTTCTTTTTTTAAATATACGTTGCGTCCAGAAATTATCATCACTGTGTCCTGTGGTGGGAGTAAGGGACAGAGTACTTTTGGATGGAGTGGGTATCTAGAGAGGGTGAGGAGGACAATTTTGAGTCCTAAACCTTATTTCCTGTGAAAGAAATACTGTATGTCATTTGTGTATACTTGTTTGGGGAGCTCTAACACTGTACAGTTTAGTTAAATGTGCTCCAAGGGAGGAGAAGCTGTTCCTCAGAGGTTTTTAGTTCATGCTTTGTGTTTAAAGAGGAATATTTTTCTTTAAAAAATAAAACCGGATAAGTTTTCACCTTAGTGTGATTCTGTTTCTTGGGGAGCTGAATATTTTTGGGGGAAAGGGAGACAGTATTTGTGCTTGTGTGTGTGTCTGGTCAAATTAACTTTGATCTCTTCACTCTTTTAAAGCTAGCAAGAACTAAGAGAAAGCACAAAGCTCGGTGAGCTTCCCCGAAGCAAGGAGAAGCTCATGACCGTGATTTGGAGATGGAAGTGGAAGGGGAAGTACATCGTTATGCTTTGAAGGTTTTCCATCAATTAAAGGGGAAGTCATCTCCTGCCGTTAACTGATGTTCTGAACTTCTGCCCGGATGCAGCTGCACCCCCATAGGGACCTCGCTGTCCTGAACTCCTGTAGGATAGGGACTGTCATTTACGTACCTGTTTCCAGAGAACCCTGACCTCAGATGATGACTGTAGGGTCGCATGGTAACACCAGCACTGTTTCATTTTGTCTGGATTTTCAGTACTTTGGAAGGCGGGGAGGAGGGGTGTGAGGGAGGTGCTGAACGCAGGTGCTTTGGTCCTGATCCAGTCATCTTCCAAACATGCATATGTCAGCAAGAAAGCCAAGAGGATTATTTAGGTGGGTAAGGACTGGGCACACGTACGGGATGTTCAGTGAAGCCCCAGAATTCGTCCCAAGATACGCACAGTCACAGTGTCAGAGCGGTCCAGTTACATGCACACCTTAGGATTTGTGTTCATTTGGCACTTAAAGGACTTTTTCCTCGGTGAGATGGGGGCTGAGGGTTTTTCCAAGATTTTGCTTTTATGTGTTATTTTATAGTCTTTATGTTTTTATTTTGTAATGTAATTTGAGAAGACAGGTGGCATAAGGTTTTAGACGTAGGCTTTCTAAGCACAGGCTTCAAAGGCTGTAGTTTTCCTCCATTTGTACTTTTATGACTCACGTTTTACTTTGCTAAAATGTGCTGCTAATTTGTTCTGAGACCTGGCAACGTATTCTGTCTTGTCTTTAAACAGCCGGGGAAGGTCTGCGTATTGCTGTGCAGGAGGGGATGCACTTCAGCCACTCTTCCTTTCTCCCCCTCTTCTTTGAGTGGTAGAGACCTGTTTGGTTCTGCAATCTGTTTTTATTTTCAGCAGTGCTGTTCCATTTACTTTCTTTTCTATTACACAGGGCTAGCAGAAAAAGAACTAAACTGTGGTCATACAGGTGAGTCTTCCTGTGCTCCATCAAAGAGCTTCCTTCTCCTGCCGTTGGCAGATGTTATAACCAGTAGGGATGTTTCATTCTTAACAATTTAAGTATTACCATCTAGCCCTGTGAAAGTTTTCTGATCAAAGACCTGCACAGTATTTTTAAAATACGAGACATGATAGTGGTGTTTGACCCACCGCAATCGAGCTACTGTTGGTAGTTTTTGTAAACTGAGAACAACAGCCTGATAGTCATCAATGTTTTCCTTCTGTTTCTTAGCTTGGTACAGCTTTTGGAAAAGAGGAACTGATTCCTTCCAGACTAGTGAGTCATGATTTTTTTTTCATTAAGGGTTGTTGATGGGTTTTTTTGGTTTCTTGGTTGGTTTTTTTTTTTTTAAATTAATTAAGGGTGATCAAGGAAACACTTTTCAGAGGAGGATGTGTGTTTTAATTAAATTACTGGCACAGGTAGGTGTCCATCGTCCCACTAGTCACTCTTTACGTACGGATGAATTTTGAGGCACTTGGTGAATGGTAGTGCTTGCACGAATGCAACACCGGTAAAATCAAGATTTGCTGCAGCGCAGAGCTCTGCTCCTCGGCCGTTCCCCCTCCGTACCTGCGGGGATCTGCTAAGCCAAGGTTTCCCCTTGCGGCCGTGATGCTGGGGTACCAGCTGGGGCGGTGGTGATGGTGTGCGGTGCGTTAAGTGCCAGATGCATTTGCACCTCTAAGTAGTAGGTGCGCAGCTGAGCACCTCATCTCGCTGGAACGGTAAGATTCAGTATATTCGGCTGGGTTTTACTGCAGGTAAACTACAGTTCGGCGCTGAACGTTGCCGGGGCCGCCCCCGCCGCGGCCCTTCTGCCCCTGCCCCGAGCTCCCGCTCCCTGTCGTGCAAGCGGCCGGCGGGGCCGCTCCCCTTCCCGCCCTC